CCTTGGGTACCCGGACACATGTGATCTGAGCACATGTCTGTGCACGTGTGTGCGTGCGTGCGTGCGTGCGTGCGTGCGTGTGTGTGTGTGTGTGTACAGATAAAGATATTTTTTAAAAATACTGAGTGCCTCTCACATTAAAGAAATCTTTAACCTGCCGTCCCTGTCCTCCCTCTGAGTGATCCGTCTTGACTCACGGATTTGTCAGCTTTTTCCATGGACCATTTCCTTTCCCTGGGAGAGAGACATTTCAGAGCAGTGGGAGGAAGAAAAGAGAAAGCAGTTAGCTCCGGTGAGGAGGTTCACCTCAGCCTTCCCCTCCTATGCTCCCTCTATTCTCATTTCCACTAGAAAAGAAGTGAAACCCCTGAACCCACGAGGACCCGATGTGAGAGGTCACTTGGCATCATTACTGTCCTACGATGATGTCGTAGTGTGTGAGAAAACAGCTCCCACTCTCTTCTCCTTTCTATCAGCCTGGACCATGTGACTGTTTCAATTTGACACAACCTAGAACCGTTGTAGACAAGAGCCTAAGCAAGGGATTGGGCACAGTGGGCCAGGCTGAATGGATGTCAGTGGGGGATTGTTGTAGTTGGGTTAATAGATCTAGCCCACTGTAGGCGGCACAATTCCCTAGCAGGACCCTGGTCCTGAACCGCACAGGAATGGAGAGGTAGAGCTGAGTACAAGCAAGGAAGCATGTCAGCATTCACTTTTCTTTTCTTGGCTGTGGATGGGATGTGAGCAGCTGTTTGAGGGTCCCGCCTTGACTTCCCCGTAACGATGGACTTGGAATCGTGAGCTGAAGTTGAAAAATCCTCATTTCCCCAAGTTGCTTTTTGTGGGAATGTTTTATCACAGCTATACAAATAAAACTAGGGCAGGCTATTTGAGGCATGCTGTTCTATGAACTAGCAACAGGGTTTTGAGATCCTACCACAGATTTACCTAACGTCTTCCCACGATAGAGCACAGATCTTGGCTGGTAGTAAACCGGGACTTGCCTCCCCAGACCTCAGCATCTCCCCATTCTATCAACGCTCCCCATACCCTAAGGAAAAGATCTCCATATCAGATCTGGCTTCGCTTACTATTGCCGCTGTAATCTTTGCCTGACTATCCCTCTAAGCGACTTACTCACCTATAAGAGGGAGAGAGTCATATCTAAACAACTAGTGAAAAGGCTCTGGCTCATATCCAGTGCCAAAGCACTGCAGCTGTTATCATCATCACTGCCCTCACTCCTGTAAGAATCTGGCCCAAGGGCTACAGCTGGTTCAGCAGTTAAGAGTGCACACTGTTCCTACAGAGGACCTAGCTGAGTTTGGCTCCCAGTAACCACATCTGGCAGCTGTGCATCTGGGTTCAAGGGATCTGACTCCCTCTTCTAGTCTTTGCGGGGACACACACAAACACACACACACACACACACACAGAGAGAGAGAGAGAGAGAGAGAGAGAGAGAGAGAACGAGAGAGAATGAGAGAGACAGAGAGAGTTTAAATTCACACAGACACATACACATTAATTTAAAAAACCAGTAAGTCTTTTCTAATTCTTGTCCTTCAGATATTTCTAGTGTGGCAGCCATAGGTTTTTGTTTGTTTGCTTGTTTTTAAGGAAAGGTCAGGACCCAAAGCTCAGTTGGTGGAATACTTGCTTAGCAATCAGAGTCCTGGATTCAAGTCCCAGCATCCCACAACTGTGCATCGTAGCAGACTGCACTTCCAGCACTTGTAAGATAAACTTGGGAGGACCAGAATCCAAGTCTGGGTCACTAAGATGGTACAGTGGATAAGGATGCTTCCTGCTAACCTGGTCACCAGCGTTCGATGCTTGGGACCACATAGAGAAGGGAGAATAGTGGCTCCAGCAAATTCTCCTCTGATTGTGTCACAGCATATCAATGCATGAGTAAATGTCACCTTATAAAGCCCTTTACACAGTGCTTTGATACCAGTCTTGAATACATCTCTGTCTAGAAGAGGAGGGAAGGAAGGAAATGAAAAAAAAATAATGAAATGGAATAATGAAAAGAAGAAAATGGCATCCAGAGATTTTCCTTTGTTTCCTTGTGTATTTTAAATTGAACACAAGCTACTTCTTTTGATTTCTTGAGCCCAACCAAACCTGCCTCCCGCCTCCTGCCCTCTACCGTCTCTAAGCCCATCATCGTACTATGCTCCTGGTAGTTGCCTGGTAGTTGGCCAGTCTCTCCCTGTTCTTTAAGCAGATTGTGCCTGCCATGAATTGACTGCCTTGTCCTGGACTGTTCTCTGCCTACAAGGCAGTTCTGCCCCTCCCCTCCACATGCTCTTTGCACCCTTTGGATGGACCTTAGACATTAGGTTGTGACTGCACTTCCTCAGTCCACCCCACTCTGACTTCCTGACGTCAGTGTTCAGGAATGTGTTTGTGTGAATATTAATTACTCAGTAGCTACCTCCCCAATTCGGGGTAAACTTCAGAAATCAGAACTTTGATTTGGTTCACTACTGCAGCCCAGCCACCTAGCCTAGCAACAAGGTATTTGACTTATTATTGTTATTATCATGAGATAGCCCTCTGTAAACAGACCTAAGCCCATCACAGCTATGACCTCAGGACCTCGGGGGAAGTTAGTTTCCTTTGCAATGATGTCTAAAGCACTTAATTACTTTCTTGAGTGTCAAAGGTTGAATTTCCTCTTTTCAGTAGTACCCAGATGCATGTTTGGCAAAAAACTTCCTCAAGAACCTTGCATTTTAGCAATATTGGTCATGGGAACTTGATGATTCAATATGTTTTCAAAGATTCTAAGGACAGAAAGGTTGGCATTAAGACTAACACTCTGAGTGCAAAGGCAAGAGAGCATAGGGGTTTTAGGAAAGGATTTGCTGGTTGACCAAATGTTGATAATGCAAAGGCGAAAAGCAAATTTCACATTGTATCCCATGGGCTCATGCTCATAGCCCCTGACCTAAAATGGGAATTCAATGTTTTTAAAAGCCAAAGAGGCCACTCTGCACATTTTCACTTTAGAAAGGATTACAGTTCACACTTTTCCGGTTTTTTTTTTTTTTTTTTTTTTTTTTTTTTTGTTGTTTTTTTTGTTTTTTTGTTTTTTTGTTTTTTTGAGACTTACAACTGTGGACTTCCTCATACTGACACCTGAGGACTCCGGACTCTGGAGAGTGTGGATAGCCACATTCAGCGTCATACACTTCATATTGGTCCCACTTTTCGCCTGACATTTGCCACCAAACTGATCTGTTTTCCTCTCATTTCCTTTGGGATTTTGCATATTCAGAAAACTATGCTCACAAAACACACTGAATGTTTCTCAATTTTAAAAAGATTTTTGCTATTAGCCACACATGGTGGTACACACTCTAATCTCAGTACTCGGAGGCAGAGGTAGATGAATCTCTGTGAGTTTAAAACCAGCCTAGTCTACATGGAGAATTCCAGGCTGTCTGAGGCTATATACTGAGATCCTGCTTCAGAAATAGAAATAAATGTTTTAGAAGTTTCTGGCTATCAGTTCTCCTTACTCTGTTCACAGCCCTGTATATAATACTGAGGCCAAAGCTGGATTGCAAATGTTTCTGAGACAAGCAGTTGAAAACCAGCAGCAGCAACAACAATGTGAGAGAGAGAGAGAGAGAGAGAGAGAGAGAGAGAGAGAGATTTGTGTCTGACCTCAGAGTGCTGGATTAAAAGTATGTGTCACCATGGCTGACTACAACTTACATTTCTATGCTTATAGTAATAGTCAATTAAAGATTCAAGTATAAAATATTAAATAATAAAATTTTAGGGAATAACAAGCAAATTTGCTTTTAGTCATAGATGAGAAAGATGCCTTAAGACACAAAGCACAGAACTTTTAAACAAAAATTCTGATCAAACATTTCCACATGATATTTAAAAATCATATGGATTAAAAAGTCATTTAGCACTAAGGGGCAATGTTCTAGCAAGCATCACTGATGGGCTTGACTTCTTAATTTACAGAGTATAACTCATTACTTTGACAAACTACCCTGACGAAAGGGACATAAGAGGAAAGGTTTATTTTTGGCTCATAGTCTGCACAGCCCATCATGGCGGAAACACACAGCGGCAGTATGAACACTGGCATAGCTGGTCACATGGCATCCACACTCAGGAAGCAGAGAGCAATGAATATTAGTGTTCAGCTCATTTTCTCCTTCTTATTCAGTCCAAGACCCAACACATGGAGCAATAGCAGAAAATATTTCCAGTCTTCAGAAAGGTAAATGTGTTAAAGGTGACAACTATTGCAGCTTCAGGGCCAGGGATAAGGAAACTCAGAGTGTGGACAAACTACAAACCAGCAGAAGCCTTTGGAAGTCCGATGGGAATGACTGCAGATAAATAACCAAGTAAATGCAAGCACCTCTCAACTTCAAAGTTTTCTAAGAAGCATGCACATGCACCCTCCCCCGCCCCCCTTTCAGAAAACTTAGGATACAATGTTAATTTTAGAGCAGGAAAAAGGTGGTTCACAAAATACTTGCAGTATGATTTTCACCTTCTAATTAAAAATAGATGCACATGCAACACTTCCACATTGAGGAAGAAAATGGTATCACCAACACTTTCTAGATATTTACATATTTTTCTGAGGGCACATATATCATTTTTATAGTCAGAAAAGAAAATGTTACCTAGAAAAAAAAAACCAACTTTCTACAGAAGAGACAACCTGTTCCCTTGAATATCCTATATTCCAGAAAAAGCACCACTGAGTGTCTGTTTTAAAGATTATATATTTTTAATTACTAATTGAGTATAATTCTGAAATTCCTACTCTGTTGGGATTTTTCCTGTAGGAAAAAGCTACACACCCACACATTCTAGTGCGTTCAGATAGCTCTGTTTGCATAGCTTCATTCATAAGTTATTGACACCTACATTGCTTAATCTGAGCTACCATATAAATAGAACTGGAGTGTGACTGCGCTGGCTATCAGCTAGTGCTGACTGCAGGAACGCACGTTGTCCAAGACCAGCCATTTCCTGCCACTAGTGAGGTGAGTGTCACACCAACCTACAAGAATATTTGCTCTCTGTTGCTGGGGCGGAGGGGATGGACAGGGGGGAACCAGTCCTGTTTATAGGCTCTCAAATAATTCTGATAATATAAAAAGATAAAAGACTTGTTATTGAATAAAGTGGTTTTTTTTTTTTTTTTTTTTTTTTTTTAGAATGGGGTTTGAAAACAGCTCTGGATTACATACCTTAGATTTTGTAATTGTAATAATGAATTTGATTTTCCACGTTGACAACTCCAACATGGTTTACCTCTTAGTTTCTATCTTGTTCAACCATGCATGTGAACAGCCCTCTAGAGCTCTTCCACACGTGTTTTCTCAGGCTTGTCCATGGGAGTAATGGAGGGAGAGAAGGTTATGATAATCACTGAAAATAGAGAAAAGCAAGCCAGGCACAACGCTTCAGTCAGGGGCTATGGCGTCTTTACTATGTGCCCATGAATTCTAACTCTCCAAGAACATAGGCTACAGACTGCAACAAACAGATTTATTTAAAAGGCAATTTTTATAACTAGAAAAATGTTTCTAGGACACATTTACCTTTGGGTGAAGTAGCCCAGAAGGGGCAATGTTCACTCTGCTCATGCTACCTCGTTTCTGACTGGTACAGGTTACTATTTAAACAATTTTTTGTTCAACTGAAAACCCATTCTTAACGTGTTTACCCAACCCCATGATCCCATGCATAAAGGTTAAAAATTAACTATTCTGTAAAAGTTACAGGTCTGCTTTAAAGAAAATAAGTTATTCTAAGCCAGCAGTAGTGACTGATCACATGGATTCAAATTACATGAAAGTTTTTAGGCAATGAACAAAGGCATCATAAGCTAATACATTCAACAGCTGCATTAGCCATAAGCAACATTCTCAACAAGCAGTAGATACAAAAAAATAAGGAAATCTTTCTTGTAGGTTGTGTATGTTATCTTACAGTGCCTTAGTATTGCACTGAACATAAACAAAACATTATGAGGGCATCAGATCAGATACTTTTATTAGAAGGAAATGGCTGCTTACACAAAAAGCCTAAGACAGCTTGAGATAATCTGGCTCTTGATCTTACACCTCTACAAAATCACGGTATTTCACTCAGCCAAGGAGAAGAGTGTGTGAAATAATCAGCACACATACAGCTTCTTCAGGGAACTCTGCCTTACACCAATATCTTCAGAAACCTATGATTACTATTTTAAAGAAGCAGGGCCTGTTTACTGAGTACAGGAAGGGAGGAATATTTAAAACAAAATTCAAAGTTCTGACCCACCCCTCCCTGCAGTTATTAACTAATACACTAGTTGAATGTACTGGTTTATGACTTCCTTTGTCCTTTGCCTGAAAACATCCATGTAACTGCTTTGGCATAGGAATGCATCGTTAGGATAACCTGAATCCATGTTCCTGAGCCAGGATCAGTCATCATTGCTGGCTCAAAATAAATAATTTCCTTTAATCCAGGATTGTAAATTTATCTTATAGGGTAGTTAATTTTTAACCCCTCTGAACAGAAAAGGGAGATAGAATGGTAATGGAGGGAGAGAATAGGCAACATCTTAAGCTTCTTTTTTCTTTTTATTCTTTTTGCAACATTCTTCTACATGTGGATATCCAGTTTACCCAGTAAAAATGTTTAAGGCTATGTTTTTTTCAACATATGTTTTTGATACCTCTGTCAAGAATTAGATGGTTCTATTTGCCTGAGTAATGATGTAATCATATTTTTAATTAAAAAAAATTTAAACAGAGGAAAAAAAAGACAACATGTTAAGATCGAAACAATGTGAGAAAGATAACAGGAAATTTAAAACTCAACTATAAAAGAAGTATAAAATTAGAAAGAAATAAAAACATTAAAATTCAAAATAATAAATAACAGTTTTAAATGGAAGGGAAGTCAAAAGGGAGAGAGATGCGTTTTTCCAGGTCTTTGTGGAGAGGGCAGTGGGTTTGAGTTTGCTCCTGCTGAGCAGGCTGCATGGAGGGCAGGCACATTGTCTGCATTCATCAGGGCTGTGTTTTTAGACTCTTAATAAAAGTCTAGAGGCTTTCTTCCTTTGCGTTTCTGGGGCCTTGGCGTCCCAAGCTGCTGTCTACATCCTGTAGGCCGGGTAGGTTCCCATTCACTCCAGACAGAGAGCCTCAGTCTGCCCTCCACGAGATGCCAAAGTTCACCTAGTTTAAGGAGGGCAATCAATCAGGCCGCCTTGCTTCTTCAGAAACCTGCAGCTGCAGGCTTGCAGGCCTCAGTCAGGTCACAGTCCTCGCCACAAGGGGGCAGGACTTCTGATCAGTGTGTCTTCCACAGCCCAGGCTCGGGGTTCCTGGAATTTCTCGGTGGATCTGTCATCCCCGGTTCTTACAGTGTTTTCTCCTGGACGGTCACTATGGCAGAGTGTTCCCCGGCACCCTGATTAGTCACCTGCCTGTATTTTCTGACCTCCAGAGTTGCTCAAACGATAGGCTCCCTTTGAAGACAGCTCCTGATCACAACGCCCCGAGTTACGGAGAGAGAGGAGATGGCTCCGTGATGCTAGTCAGCAGTGAGAGAGGACTCACCTCAGATCAAATGCCTGCCCTGGATTTAACGCTTGTGAGAACTGTGCAGTCTTGACAGTCACGGGCTTCTCCCGATGCTACCACCACCGCGCCTTTGTTCTCCTATGGCCACCCAAACCGGGCTGACCACGTGATTGCTGCTTCCCTCCCTCCTCACCCCTCCCAGTCCCTCTCTCCATCCTCTCCCCATGCAGGGAGCCCAGCTGGACTTTTGGACTGTTTCCTACTTCTCCGCGTTATCTTTTGTTTGTCCTGCATTTTAGCTACCGCCCACCTCCACGCGCCTCGATTCCCCATGTCTTTCGAATATAGTTTCTCCTGTGTTACTCTGAACGTCTTACTTGAAAGTGAGCAGAGCCAACTGGCAATCCTGCTCCCTTCATTTATTCCTGAGAAATTGTGCTTACTCTTGATCACCGTCATTACTTTTTGAATATTCAGAGGGTGCCAACTCTGACAGGCAGAAACTCCAAGGCGACTCCGGCACGCTTTGAGAAAACTTCATTAGTTTTTAACTAACTGATGCTTTTCTGACACACGTTTCATGTTCATTATTACTTTCCTGGCCCTGTATCTGGGGTCATGGTTCCTTTCATGTGGAGAAAGTATTTAGAAAATAAGATATGCGCACACACTACTGCGCATTCGTTTAATACTGACTAAATTTACCATTACAAGGATTTTGTCTTAGCTTCTGAGTTACATATTTGTATTTCTTTTCCCCTACAGTGAAAATCATGCAACATCTGTATGTCTACATTTTTTGCTACGTATACAACAAAACAATCCTAAGTTTTCAATGCGAACATTGCCACTAACAATAACTCTACTCAGCTTGAGACGTTTCTGTGCTTTTAAAAAGATTATTATTATTCTATGGCTAGATTCTAGCACATACCTTTTCTGTATGGCTATTGATTTCACGTTGAGTTAGCCAAGGTTGCTTCTGGTGATGTCAAGCACATGTGGTTGAACTAATATTGTATTTTATTCCCATAGAAACCTGAACAATGAGACCTAAAATGACATATTCAACCTCCCAAATTTCCCCAGCCAAGCTGAGCAATGCAACAGGCAAAGCCCTGGTGAAGTCTTGCAAGCTAAGAAGTAAGAGCGTCAGCATTCCTCTGTTACACGTTATTTGAAATGTATTATCGAAAACTTTTTATTTCAATGTTCAGACATGCCACTTACGGATAGATAACATCTAAGAACACACGAACTGAAAGGAAAAAGGAGGCAGCTCATGTTTTTATTGGGAACAGCACAGGATAGGGCTGGCTTAGATAATGCAGACCTTTGATGAGTGTAAACTTAGAAAAATACAGTCTTTTACATCATTCCCTTCACAATTCTCACAGATCCTGCCATTTCCCTAATTAACTGACACATCTCTAAACCGATCCTCTTCCCTCCAAGTTTGTCAGTCTACTGATTACTGATAAAGGAGAGAAACACAAAGGAAGATACCCAGGCCCCAAATGAAGAAGAACGGACCAAATATAATTATCTAATTACAAACTCAGAATGTGGAACACGATGAAAAGGAGACAAAGTATTAGTATTCAGAAAATGAATCCCATTAGATATTATGGCGTAGACATGCCAGAATTCCCACACTGATGACAGAGCTCAGTTTAACGTTGAGATCTTACAACTCACATGCTACAGTCTTTATTTCAACCTGACCCTGAGAGGTTATTTATGATGTCTAAGACACAAATGGAACTTTCTTTCTTTGGCTAAGTAAAATAAGGATTACTGAACAACTGATTATTTTTGTGTTTTGTTGTTGTTGTTTTGGTTTTCCTGTTTTTGTTTTTTTTAGTTCAGTTGATTGAATGTGCATTTGGTTAGCAGGGAAGATTTCACCCCACCCCAATGTAGCTCAGACTTATCTGGATATTCAGGATCCTTCTTTAACCTCTTGAAGGCTGGGATTAGAGACATGGCCACATCTGGACTGTGATCATTTTCATCCATGGCGGTAGAGTCCAATGAATAGCTTTGATATTAAACATACGTCGTTAATTACTTTTACACCTCTATACCCAAAACCTTACAGAAACGACTTAAAGACAGACAATTCATTTTGCTTTGTGGCTCAGACTGTACAATTCATTATGATATGAATAGCGGCTGGATCAGTTTGACCTATGGCAGCCAAAACTTGCAAAGTTTCTCCTATGGCACCAACCAGGGAACTGAAGGACCAGGCTATAATATCCTGAGACTAGCCCCTGTGGTGTGTGTATATTAGCAAGGTCCTGCACTCTAAAGGCACCACAGTCTCCCAAAGGGTGTGACCAGGTTAGGACCAAGCATCCAAGTACAAGAGTCTGTGAGAGCATTCAATACACTCCTTAGAGAACTCATGAGCCATGTAACCTTGGACAGTGTTGTAATTCCTAGAAGCCTCAGGTTGTCATTGTAAAGCTAAGATAATAACACTTTACGGGATTATTATGAGTGGCTAAATTAAAAGTTCTATGAAATTTAGTGAGCAGAGTGTTTGGCCAAGGGCTGACACTTGGTTAATCCAGTTATTTTAGTATCAATACCTTTATTGTTTTCAGCCTTCTAAAAATTATTAAAAACAGCCCAAATCTCATATGGATGTTAATATCTCCCTGGGTTAGGCAATGGCTGGGCTGATGCATACCTAATGTAGAACCATGATTCCTCAAATGACGTTCTGAAAAAAACAACAAAGACCTAAATGTTTCAACAGTTCATTTGCAGCCAAATGACAATCCCAGACCACTGTCTGTTAAATCCCAAAGTCTGTGATGGTTAATTTCAAATGTCAACTTGACTGAACCATGCTTGAGGCATTCCTGAGGCATATCTTTGGATATGCCTATGACAGCATTTTCCAGACAGGATTATTTCAACCCACCATGAAAATGGGCAGTGGCAACATCCCATGGCCTGGATCCAGAGCCAATTAAAAAGGATACAGATAAGACAGCTCCACACCCCCATTCACTCTCCATCCTCTCCCTTTCACGGTCTGCTGAGATGTTGAGCAGGCAGCCTCCCACTGCCACACCTTCCCTCTATAAAGGACCTGAAACATGAGCAAAACTAGTCCTTTTCTCCTTTAGTTTGCTTCTTGACAACGATTTAGTCACTAAATAGAAGACTTGGTTCCTTTTGTGTAACATATCCTACGGCTTACTAGAAAAGTAGTCAAGTTAATTTTTAACCAAGTAGTGCTACTCCAGTCTCTGTTGGAGGAGCTGTATATATTTTTTAGGATATGACCTACAGAAATCTAAACTTTTTTTCCCTATTGTTAGGATCCCAACACAAAACCAAAGAAATCTGCCATGTCTACTACATGAGGCTCCGTTCTGGCCTCGCCATAAGAAAGGAGACCTGTTACTTTGAGAAAGAACCCACTGAAAGTTATTCACTGAAATCAGGTAAGTTCATTCCTGGACAGACAGATGGGCATCAGTTGCTTTTACTTTCCACATTTTATATATACAGTTTTCCCTCATCCAAGTTCTCCTTGAGGAGAAGAGTAAAGATGATACTGTGTGGGCCATTTTAGTTGGGGGTGTTTAGTTACATGGAAGAAATGGATACAATGGTGAGCTAAAACAGATGATACCTGGTCATACATAAGTACGGGGTGATTGAATTTTTACTACGGAGGAAGTACACTAACTGGCTCCCAGTGGCTGCTTTTGAGTGTTGAAATTGCGGTGAGCAGTTTCCTTCTTCTTGGTGGTGAGCTCTGCTGGAGTGTGATGACCTCACCATTAAAGAAGTCCTGATTCCATTAGACCATTGGGTGAGCACTGTCCTGAGACCACATACCAAAAGGGATGGTATCTTTGCAGAATGGAGATTGATGGCTCTCCTCTGCCTCCTACTGCTGTCTTGCAGGTAGAAAGCGTGAAAGGAACTTCCTTGCCTTCCCCCAGGATGCTACGAAACGCTCCATGTTTGAGGCAGGCAGTTTCCAAGAATGTGTCAAATCACCTGACAGAGAAAGTATCCGAGGTATGATTGGTCACAGGGGCCATGTGAGGGTGGGGTGTGAGGTAAGTGCTATTCCACACAGCAGATGCAAGAGTCTGGGTGCCGTGTAGCTGTGCCTGTGTGTTCTCTAGTTAGCAATCCATTGATATTCTGGAACACTTGCTGTAGGCTGGAGTCTACACTAGTTCTGATAAATGGATTATCCTTTGAGAGGAAAAAAACTACATTAATCCCCATATCTCACAATTTTCACCATAACTATTGTCTTTTAAAATACAATTTTAACACGATATGGCTTGAAGAATAAAGTTCTTACCATTTGTGCAAAGTCCCAAATAAAATTTGATAATCAAGATGTGAGGAGAGTCCAGGGAGTGTAACTCAGTGGTAGAGCACAGGCCTCATGTGCAAGGCTCTGCATTTAATCTCTGTCAACGTGGGAGAAAAATAAAAGTGAGTCCTGAGCATAGTGGCATGTGCCTTTAATCCCAGCATTTGGGAAGCAGGTGACACAGTGTCTCAAAAAACAAACAAATGTATCCCTGGTGCAGGAAAGGACTTTGGGAGCACATTCCCCATGGGAAGGAAACTCCCTTAACTTAGAGACAGGAGGGAGGGCCTAGACCCTACTCCAAATGACTTAGCAGATTTTGATGATTCTCTCCTGGAAGGCATCACCCTCCCTGTGGAGTGATGGGGGGAATGGGATAGAAGTGGGGTGGGTGGGCATGGAAGGATGGGAGGGAGAGGGAACTGGGATTGATATATAAACTAAGATGAAATTAAAAAATACAAAACAAAAGGCCCCAAATCAATTAACAAGTGAAAAAATTCCACCACTAAGGAAATAATTAAGAACCACATGCTGTAATTTACATATATATTACTTTTTATATGTAGGACATTATGTAAAGCAATTTAGTATGATCTATAGTGTTTAGTATATGTACTTAGTATATATTTAATACAAATAATATTAAGCTCCTAGTCAATATTCATTTCTCATAAACTGTTTTTAAATTTCTTTGCTTTAGATGTTCATATACAAATTCTTACTTTGTATATTATTTTTATTTGTAAAATACAATAGCCCGTAGAAGATACGGTAAATTTTAATGGAAGAAACTCATGTGGGCCCAAGTCGGCTTCAGTTTACCCACATAAGCTTTAAAAATATTATCATGTGCCCTGTATGTGTCTCAGGCAAAGGCACGGACTAGCTTACATGTGCATCCCCCTAGAACAGTGGTTCTCAACATTCCCAATGCTGTGACCCTTTAATAAGTTCCTCATGTTGTGGTGACCCCCCACAACCATAATTTTATTTTTGTTGCTACTTCATAACTGTAATTTTGCTACTGTTATGAATTGTAATGAAAATATCTGATACTTAGGATAGCTGGTATTTGACCTCTATGAAAGAGCTGTTCAATTCCCAAAAGGGGTTGCGACCCACAGATTGAGCACCCCTGCCTTAGAGTGTTGGGCATCTCTAAGTAACCGTACTTTATAAAGGGGCATATGTTCACCTATGTCTTCCAAAACATGACCATTCTTTCCCACAGTCCCTTAGACTGTATGAAGGCAAAAATAGGGCTGTCCTCTTCCTCAATCCCAGCCCCGCCATGCAGAGGCAATCCCACCCTGGTACCAACTACAGTACAAGTCTTTTGCCTGTGCTACAATGACAAAGTATAGCTCACATAAAATACAAACAAACAACAAAATTCATCAGAAGAATTGCTTCAAAAAATAGCCAAGAAAATTGTTGACAGGGTTGTTGGTTTGTTGTTTTTCCTGGCTGAGAGCAATTTTGCTCCTTACAGAGGCCTGTGCTTCCCTGAGCACATACAATGACCAATCTGTTAGCTTCAAAGTTTTGGAGAATGGACGCTACGTGATCAATGTTGAAGACTGTGGAAAAGACCAAGAAAAAGGTAGGCAATTTTCGCCTACTTCCTCATGTCTTTACTTAGTAATGATGACTGGTGAGGTTTAAAGAAAAACTCTACTAAATGATCAATAGCAGTGGGTTTCATCATCTATGCTAATTTCAGTCTTCCCTGTGTTAAGCAGGATTCCATGCAGTCAGCTTCTTCAGGGAAGAATGCAGATGTTGAGAAATAACTATTGAGAAATATGGAGGGAGAGACCACGTGTGTTTATTAAGGCTGAATACTCACTAGCTCTTTCTCAACCTTTTCAGTGTCACCATAGCATAAAGGCTTTTTCAGGGTCACCATAGCATAAAGGCTTTTTTTTTTCTTTTTTGTGAAAGAATAATTCTCTGCCATAAGCAATAACACCCATGTTGGAGAATTCATCAGAGCATAATATATTTTGCAGTTTTTGTAAGAATCACTGAAGTTTTTGCTTTTACTGGTATATGGCAAGGTATAGGGCAAGGTTTTCTGGCCCTGTGTGTGATGGAACAGAAACCTTTAGAAACAGTTGTCTCTCACCAAGTGATACCATGTTGCCTTTCAGACAAGATGCTGCTGCATTACTATGAGTCTCCCCATTCCTCAAATGAATCAGGTATGTGGAGGCAGGGTGGAGGTGGTGCTTGGATTCCATTCAGGGATGGATCTAAAATAGCCCTAATAGAGAAAGAGAGGAGCGGGGCCCGCTGGTGGCGCACACCTTTAATCCCAGCACTTGAGAGGCAGAGGCAGGTGGATCTCTGTGAGTTCGAGTCCAGCCTGCTCTACAGAGCTAGTTCCAGGACAGGCTCCAAAGCAATACAGAGAGAGAGAGAGAGAGAGAGAGAGAGAGAGAGAGAGAGAGAGAGAGAGAGAGAGGTTCAAAAGGTTATCCTCAACCCCATGTTCATTGTAAGATCTTAGCTTCTTAGAACATTTATCCCACCTCATCTGTTTCTGGATTAGTATAATAAAGGCTTAGCTACATATAATAATAATAATAGTAATAGTAATAATAAGCTACTTATAATAATATAGCCTGTCTTCAGCCACAGCTAGAAAGATTCTGCTCAAAGGTTGTTCAGAGACAGTTCCTTCTATATTATCATTCTGCAATGTCTCATGCCCAATCACAAGAGAGGGAAGACGAGTGAGTACATTCTTTTACCCTTCCAGGACACAACTAGGGTTACACATCAAGTGTCTGCTCATCCTTCAGTTGGTCAGAACTTAGCCCAAAAGCAACACTGGGCCATGAGAACACAGGCAGGGAAATATTCTATAATCATCTATTAAAAGACAACTCGGTGGTGGCTTCATATACACACAGGCAAGCTGATGCCCAAAGATGTGCCCACTGTAATCAATTCAATTAGAAAACATCCGAACAACAACAGAAATTAAAAACCTAACCTCCTCCTCTGAGGATTTTACAAAGTCTCTTAGGTCAGATTTTGTGGCACACATCTTTAATCTCAGCACTCTGGAGGCAGAGGCAGGCTAGTCTCTAAATTCAAGGTCAGCCTAATCTGCTGAACTAGTTCCAGGACATCCAGGAAAGAAGGAAGAAGGGAAGAAAGGAAGGAAGGAAGGAAGGAAGGAAGGAAGGAAGGAAGGAAGGAAGAAAGGAAAAGGAAGGCAAGGGAATAAAGACCCTCTACCTACCTGATAATAACTCTTCAGTTTTGTTTGGGTACAAATACTTCTAAATGAATCAATGAGCTATTTTCCTTCACATCTTGGATTCTTTGGTTTAAGTTAAATTAAGATGTTACAAGGCTTATGCTTTTTTTCCCTTATAATTTCTTCTGTTCTTTTTATTTTTAATTGATAGGTAAAATTGTATCAATTGTGTACAATAGGAGACTTTTTAAAAAAGATTTTATTTTTATGTGCATGAATTTTGCCTGCATGTATAAAAGTGTGTCATGTGCATGCAGTGCTTGAGGAAGCCAATGGAAACAATGGACCTCCCTCAAGGGAGCCACCCTATGGGTCCTGGGAACTGAATCCAGGTCCTCTGCAAGTGCATCAGGTGTTCTTAACCAACCACAGAAGCATCTCTCTGGTCCCACAACAGGAGCTTTGGAAGTACCTGTCGTCTGTCTACCTTGTAGAATGGTAGCCAAGTGGCAAATGCATCACCTCACGTGTTATCGTTTTCATTGTAAGGTGATGGTGTGGATGGTAAGCTGCTGATGGTGAACATGAGTCCTCTCAAGGACACGGACATCAGACTGCATGCCAATGACAAGAACCACTCTGTGAAGGTAACTGAAATGCGACTGTGTAACTGCCACAAATTGATTCTACCTGTGTGCGTGCATCTAGATGTTAGGGAAGTTCGAAGAGACAGTTGTGTGCATGCTATTGTAAATAAAATACAGTCAGTCGCCTCTAATGACTTGCTCAGCAGTAGGGGAAGGAGGAAAGTGTGGTGTGGCTTTGCTACCGCAAGCTTGCTCCCCAGCAACAGCACAAAAATCACGTGCTTTCCATTTGGCTGTGTGCTACTAAGTTATATGGTGATTACATATCATATATATTGACTATATATTATAAATAGTATATAATGATTATATAGTAATTCACTTCTGGATCCAAGTCTGTCAAGGAGAGGGCACCAAGCATGTCCATACACCAGCAGTTATTAGCAGCATAAAATTCTATATCTGATCCATTCTTATTTACAGGTAGACATTGGCCATGACAAAAAAAAATTGCGAGCATGTTGATGGGCAAACAAGCCAGAACACAAAGTTAGGAAGGAAACAGGACAGCATCATAAGGAGACAATTTCTGTAAATATACCAAATTTAAAGTGATCCAGTCATGTAAGACATCAACATAAAGAGCTAGTGATCCACACGCTGGTCAGGAGGGTATTCTCAAGTGTGTATAATGTAAGATCTAGCATATATAATAAAAAAATAACAATGGAGTGCCATGGCATGTCAAGTCCTTGATTAATGCTTCACAAGACTTGTCTCTAACCCTCAATGTAAGTGTATGATGGAATAGTTAGTTACACTGGTCAGCTATTGTGCAACAAACTATCTCAAAACTCAGTGGATTAGAATAATAACCACTTATAGGTCCTTAGCGATTGAGGCCTGAGGTTTATACTGGTCAGCTATTGTGCAACAAACTATCTCAAAACTCAGTGGATTAAAATAACCACTTATAGGTCCTTAGCGATTGAGGCCTGAGTTGGGTCCCCAGTATTTATTGTCAGGTGACTCACAACCACTTGTAACTCCAGCTGCAAGGTGGTCAGATGGCTCTGGCCTCCATGGGCGTCTACATTCATGTGTACATACCCACACAGAGATACACCCATATGTCTATATTAAAAAAAAACAAAACAAATCCTAAAGATAACATAAATAATAATCACAAATTGTATGTAATAATTTAAAGAACTGAAGCTATTAATTTAATCTAATTAAAATTAAATAAAAACATGTCTGGAAATCTATAGGGAATGCTGGCTATATACAAACCTGGTACATGATCTAGCTAGTTAGAGCCCATTCGCTATGGTGGGATGCCATGCTCAGTCTTAATACATGGTCTGAGAGGGGCCTGGCCCTGCCCCAACCTATTGTGCCAGACTATGTTGACTCTTCATGGGAGTCCTTACCCATGAGAAGTGGGCTAGGGGGGGAGATGAAGAGGTGTGGGAGGAGGGGGGGTGGAGGGAAAACTGTGCTTGGAATGATGTAAAAATAAAATCAAAAAATGAAAAAAATGTAAAAAAAAGTTGAAGTTTGCTAAATAAAGCACCATGTTCTTTGTATTAGAGGCAATAGACAACAACAGAGGGGCATAAATCCAGAGGACCTCATACAGATCTGCTCAGTCTCCACCACGCAGCTGATCTGAATGTACCATGTCCCTGTGAATCACTGCTCCTACCACGCATCCTTTGCCCTCTGCTTTTCCCTCCACCGCTTACTCCTCCCTCCTCAACTCAGTAAACAGGCCTGCTAGAGAGACCAAATTATAAATAATTATTCTCCCCATGGGTTCTAGCTCAGGGAGGCTACTTTAGCCCTGAACTTCCCATTAACACATTTGTTAGCCCTGGACTTCCCATTCACGCATTTGTTAGCCCTGAACTTCTTCCCATTCACACATTTGTTAGCCCTGGACTTCCCATTCACACATTTGTTAGCCCTGGACTTCTTCCCATTCATACATTTGTTAGCCCTGGACTTCCCATTCATACATTTGTTAGCCCTGGACTTCTTCCCATTCACACATTTGTTAGCCCTGGACTTCCCATTCACACATTTGTTAGCCCTGGACTTCTTCCCATTCATACATTTGTTAGCCCTGGACTTCCCATTCACGCATTTGTTAGCCCTGGACTTCTTTCCATTCACGCATTTGTTAGCCCTGGACTTCCCATTCACGCATTTGTTAGCCCTGGACTTCTTTCCATTCACGCATTTGTTAGCCTTGGACTTCTTCCCATTCACGCATTTGTTAGCCCTGGACTTTTTCCCATTCACGCATTTGTTAGCCTTGGACTTCTTCCCATTCACGCATTTGTTAGCCCTGGACTTTTTCCCATTCACGCATTTGTTAGCCCTGGACTTCTTCCCATTCATACATTTGTTAGCCCTGGACTTCTTCCCATTCACGCATTTGTTAGCCCTGGACTTCTTCCCATTCATACATTGTCTTCTTTTCTTCTTCCCTCAGCTGGAAAAGTGCCAAGCTCCTCTACCAGAAGAGGTCTTTTTCGTCCTTCACAAAAAGTCCTCCGACTATGTGTCATTCGAGTGTAAGAATCACCGTGGGACATACATAGGAGTGAAAGATAACCAGCTTGCTCTAATACAAGAAAAGAACAACGACAGTGAAAATATCATGTTTAAAATTTCTAAAGTTTAATGGAACAAGAAACTTGTGGGTTCTGGGTTGAACGACTAAAGGAAGGGTGTTACCACTAAAGAAAGGGCGAGAGAAAGAAAGAGACATCTAAGAGAATGGTTAAGATGCTGTGGAATGTTACTATATATAAAAATTCTTTTCTTTTCCTCTGTACCACTACACATGCAATAAGAGCATGATATATGGCATATGGCATTTGGTAAGGAAACTGAAAGATATTCAACCTTGGCATTTACTTTTGTCTGCTTTGAGTCCTGAATGAATTCACACTTGCAGATCTCTCCAATGCTCTAGACAAGGGTCCATTTTTAAAAAGCCTTAAAAAAAATACACAATTTTCCCTGGTTCTAAACAAAAGGTTGAAATACTAGAGCAGCTAACAGAGGACCAGTTGCTGACCAGGTTGACTGTTTCTCATTCAGAATAAAGCACCAAATGTATTGGTAGATGCCCCAGGCAACCCTCAGACCAGCTCTTTCTGTCAAGAAATCTAGCATTCCAAATATCTACATTCCTAAACAGGTAGGATTAATGTGTGAAAAGGTAGGATAACTGAAAAAAAAAAAGAAAGAAAGAAAAAGAAAGCCAGTATTTGTGACATGGAATAATGTTACCTATAGTTGTTTCCTTGGGGTAGGGGGTTGGAGACAGGGTTTTTCTGTGTAACAGTCATGGCTGTCTCATAACTCTTTCTGTAGCCCAGACTGACCTCAAACTCAAAGAGATTTACCTGCCTCTGCCTCTGCCTCTGCCTCTGCCTCTGCCTCTGCCTTCCAAGTGCTGGGGTTAAAGATGTGTACCACCACTACCCAGCTACTTGTTTTCTTTCTAGAATTCTGATGATTTTTTTTTAAAGATATCAGTTTAAGTTTAAGCAAGCCAAGCTTACATTAGGACATGGAACACATTTTCATTCATAATTGTGATTAATAGCATTGGCCATATTTAACAAACTTAAACTCTTCTGCAAGTACCGACCAGGGCATATATTAGGGTATCCAAGTAGAACAGGATCCCACAGTGAGGTCCTCGTAGAAAGACATTGAATTAATTTCAGATTTTCAATGTTTGTGACATGCTGTGTCCTTCTCACCAATTTCCAAGAGCTGTCACTTTGGATGTGTGCATCGACTTGGATGAAATTTCTCGATGGCTTGCTACACTTACACAAAAATTCTTTTGTCATTTGAGTTCACAGTAGCACTGTTCACTGTGGGATATATTAGCTTAACTTTTACTCTTTCTTTGGTTCTTCTAACCAACGAATCCTTAACGTATCTCCTATTCCCTAAGCTTCATTTTTGTTTTCTCTGACATCTATATGCCAAAGCTTCTATTCTGCTTGGTTTATTTTGCACTGTGGAATTTTATGTATACATATCTACTGGTTTCAAGTTTGTTCACTAAAAGTTTGTGTGTGTGTGTGTGTGTGTGCTTTACTGTTACTAAAATTTATATTAACCATATAGTAATAGTTTGAGCTACTGAAGGAATAGCTTTGCTTACTTAGACAACAGCAATTTCTACTATATCTTATTAGCTTAAAATGTAAAGCAAATGTGAAAGATCACAACAGAAAACTGATGGAATATAATATGACCATTTCTGAAAGTGTAAGCTTTTAGTTTTCAGTTGATAAAAGCTATTGTATATAATAGCTGATGGAATGTATGATAAAAGAGGCTTGGAATTGCTTTATAAGGCCATACAATTATAGCATGATGTAACTGTCTCATTAATCTTCACTGTTTTACTATGGAAACAAAAGTAAAAGCACAATCTATGTCATCCCCCTAGAAACCACAGTGTTGACTACATGAATTTGTACAATAAACTTAAATAATAATTAAGTAGCCAAATATATCTGTGATGTTGTTTATAACTTTGAATAAACTGTTTGGCAAAACCACATTTGAACATGACTTTTATCGCAGAATGCTCCAATGTTCTGAGTTTTTAAATGAAAATGAACACACCCCAGTCCATCACTATTGACAAATGAACGGAGCAGGAAATTTGAAAACTCAGGGTATTTAAAACTAAAATTTCTCACAGAAGGGATTGTGTCTACTTTGCCTTCATCCTCCCAGTGTCCACTGTAATAGACCTCCTCCCCTCTCCAAAAGGACTTTTAAATTTTGCTCCAACCCAAACACACACCCAGGCGTTTCTGAATCAGAAATTAACCTAAAATTTCCAACCCCTTGCTTTCACTCAGCTACCTTATTTTCTGTTTTGTTTTGTTTTGTTTTAAAAGATAATTTTAGAGCTGAGGAGACTGTTAAGCAAGCATGAGCAAAGGAGTCCCACACATAAGCACCCACACAAAAGCCAAGAGCGACTATAAACCCCAGCGCTAGGAGATGGGTAGAGCCAAGCTCATCCTGGAGGGCAGCTGGCCAGCCAGCCAGCCTAGCCAAAGGGATAAAGTCCGGATTCTGAGACTCTCAAAATTCAGAGGAGCAATAGAGGAAGAAATGATGTTGGCATCTGGCCTCTATACACGTGCATATGCACACATCTCACACACATGTACACTTTCCACATTATTACAATCAGTGTTATTTGATTAAAATATTCAAACGTGTACTGACATTTTGTCTTACTTGCATTGCTTTGATGGCTGATAATACACGTTATTGGAAGTATTCTTTCCGTTCAATTATAGCAGAAATGATAATTTTATCTGACAGCTATCTCAAAATTTACAGTTATGTAACTTTATGTTCTTTAAGTTCCTGTGTATTTGGGGGAGTTGTTTTTTAATTTTGCCTTTCTTCTTTTCCTTCCCCCAATTTCTCTCAGATTTGTCCCCACCTCCCAATACCCTACTTCCTGTTTTTATTGCTCTTTTTCAATAAGGGAAAACATGAGACCAATAAAACAAACAAACAAACAAAGAAAACCAAAAAACGACAAACTATAGGATATAGGATATATAGGATAAAAAATGCCAAAACAAACCCAAAAGCACACACAAAAGCATGGTGTCTGTTTGCTGTTGCTCCTGCTATTGACATGAGGCCTGTCCTGGAGTGTGATTGACATATCCAATGACACTCTGGTGGTGGTGGTGCTGATTTTCCCTTCCCCAGCAGGTATCAACTACAAATACCCTCTTGGTTAGAGGTAGGACAGTGTGTCCACTTCCCCGTTAAGTGCTGGGATTTTTGTCTGGCTTGAACCTGTGCAGGTCTCGTGCATGCTGTCACAGTCTCTGTGGGGTCATACCTCCATCAGCACTGTTGTGTCTGCAAGACAGTTTCCTGGGAGTCATCTGCCACCTCTGGCTTTTACAATCTTTCTCTCTCCTCTTATACATAGGTCCCTGACCCTTCAAGGGAGGAGTTTGATAAACACTTCCCACCTCAGGCTTAGTGCTCCAAAGTTTCCCATTCTCGGTGCATTGTCTAACTGTGGACCTCGTCAAAGTGTCTCTGATGAGGGTTAAGTGATACTCTGCTCTGTGGGTATAGCAATGTGTCATTAAGAATCATTTTATTGCTATGTTCCTTTAGCAGAAAAATAGTAGGTTTTCCCCTAGCCTATGGCCTCTCTGGTTGTAGGTTCTTGGCCACATTAGCAGTGTCAGGTATGGGTTCCATCTCATGGAGTGGGTCTTAAGTCAAATTTTAAGAAGTGGTTGGCTACCCCATGGCTTCTGTACCACTGTTGTACCAGTATACCTTGCAGTCAGGTAGATCACTGGGTGACTTGATAATTTCTTTTTCGCACCAGTCTGCAAAGAACTTTCCAGAACCATGAATACTTGTCAGTAGGGTGAAACATGCAGTTGAGCACCAACTCAATTTCTCCACATTTGATGACATAAAGAAGTTGTGTCTCTGTAATAGGGTTATACTGTCAGGTTAGATATGGGGAGTAACTATTAGCCTTAGCAATAAATGGTTACTGATATTTGGGAGTAGCCTATGCATCCCTTTGGCCAACAGCTCAGCAAAATTTAACCCATTCTTGGTAGTGGAGGCTTTACATGGTGGTATAAGACAAGTTCTTAGGACATTGTCTCCATCATTATATTGTCACTCCATTTAAACTTCCTTCATATATGTATATATTTTAGGAAGTGACAGTAGGTTTCCATATGGCTTTTTCAATAGGTCTTTATTGTTAGCTGTCCATCTTCATATGTTCTCCCTTACCTTGCTCTCTCATCCTCTTCTCTATTTAATCCTACTTTCCTCTCTTTATAACACCAGATTCTCCTCACTGGTCCCTTATGAGCTACCTAACCTCTGTGGTTATTCGTGTTGAAACACACAAATGAGAGGTCTTGTCTCCAAAAGTATGATGTCTGATTTATGAAGAGCAATACTTGAGGCTGACCTCTGGCCTCCATGCACAATATACACACATGTATGTACCATCACACACACAAATGCATACACACACACACCCCTAGAAAAAAGTCATAAAAATTGTTACGCTTACTAAAATTAATTAATAAAATAATGTGTTGACACAAAACTATGTTGTTATTATTTTAAAACTTTTAAGAAATGTACCCTTGGTCTTAGGTAGCTGTTGCTAAACTAAGCTCTTTTTTCAACTGTTTAATACGTGGATGTGTAGATAATAATCTAACAAGACTAATGCCCACCTTTAACCTGCCCCATTCATAAGACTATCTAGTAGGCCCTCCCTTTTCCTATGAGTGATACTTGGAAGGAACACATTTGGCAAGCTTTGAATATTTGTCAAGGTACACTTGGCCCAACCCTTAATACAAAGTTAAATACTTCTTAGCTTGCCTGTGACTCTGCAGAATCTATAATTTGTTATACAATCACTTCCTTTACTTCTGGAGAAATTAGGCAAGAAATTCTGCCCAAGCCACCAGTAAAGGTCAACTTTGAGAATCACATTTGATCTTTTTTTTTTTTTTTTTTTTAAGGTACCATGTCTTTAAGGAAAATTCCAAGAAAGGGAGAAGGATCCGATCACCCTCACCTCCTCTCTCACCTCGGTTGTGCACCTCTCCCTTCTATCAGCAAGGCATTGTGCTCCCTCTTCCTTACTAGACAGCATTTCTCTCTGGCCCTGAGGCCACCACATTTACCACTTTATCTTAGCAGTCGGCAGAATGTGAGAATGCAGTAGACAGTCCAAATGCATCCGCCTAATAAATACAGTGATATATAAATAAAATAAATCTATCCTCAAGTATGTAGCAGCAATTCCTGGAACCAGTGTTTCCAGTACATAAGAATTTAATTTAAGCATCTATTGCAAAACCATAACCAAGATGCTTTTTAAAATGTTTCCCTCAAGGTTAGCAACTGTGAATATACACAGCCAATTACCAGATTCCCTGAGGGATAAATTGTACTCTCATACTGTTATAATTTATTATCATTATCTTTTCCAAGAACATAAGGAAAGCATTAACAGGTTGGTTAAGTACATGTGTGAAAGTGGTCCAACTCTGGAATAAAATATCTTAGAGCCTTGATTCACATTTGGGTCACTATTGGATTCTTCTCCTCCTTCTGCTCCTCCTCCTCTTTCTCCTCATTTTCTTCTCCTCCTCCTTCTCCTTCATGTGTGTCTATTGTGTACATGTTCATAGGTACATATTGTGCACATACATGTAGAGGTCTGGTCTGAGGTCACCATGAGGTGTCCTTCTCAACCACTCTCCTCATTTTTGGGGACAGAGTATCTTACTGAACAGGGAGTTCATTGATTGGGTAGTCTGGCTGGCCAATGAGCTCCATGGGTCTGCTTGTCTCCCCACACCCACCTTCGATTTACAAATTTACACCATCATGCCTAACTTTTTATGTCAATGCTAGGGATCCAAACTCAGGTCCTCATGCTTGTGTGACCGGCACTTTAACAAGTGACTCTTCATTTCCTGCTTTCTTTCTTTACCTTTAAAAAGCCCCTAAACAGAGCACACTAGACCTGCCTATCCACGAGGGACCACCCACAATTTCAACGTGCCTGGTCTCTGACCCCCACTGCCAGTCTTCTACTGGAGTTCCAGACCCTCCCAGAGATCCACCTATCTCTGTGGGACCACTCTGAGTTCCTGAGGGCTGGATCCTTGACCCCCATCACAGGGCCTCTGCCAAAGAGGCCTCAGCTGGAGAGTTCCAGGCCTAGGCTAGATCTGCATATCAGCTTAAGGAACATTCTGAGTCCCAGCATTCGAGATCGTGGACTCCCATCACCAGTCTTCTGCTGGAGCCTGATCTTTGACCCACATAGCCAGGCGCCTGCCTATGGAGAGACCTTCTAGATAGCTTGGACCACCAAGAGCTACAGACATCGAACCTCTGACTCACCTAAGCCCATCGGGGAAGCACCATAGAGAGAAGGAGAGACTCCACCAACACCTACTGGAAGAAGGCAATACAAGAAAATACCTAACAACAGAAAAACAAGCATAACACCACCAGAACTAGGGAATCTACACCAACTAGACTGGAACACAACAAAGCAGATGAAGGAGAAGAGAACGAATTAAAAATTATCATCATAAAAATGATAGAGGCCCACAAAGAAGATGTGACAAAATCCCTTAAAGAAAGGGAAGAAAAAACAAACAAAACATTGGAAGAACTGAACAAATTTCTTAAAGAAAGTACAGAAAGCCAAGAAAAAACAAACAGGTGAAGGAAACGGTTCAAGACTTGAAAACTGAAATAGAGACAATAAAGAAAACACAAACTGAAGGAATGCTGGAAATAGAAGAACTGGGCAAACAATCAGGAATTACAGATGCAAGCATAACAAAAAGAATTCAAGAGATGGAAGAGAGAATCTCAGGCATGGAAGATAAACTAGAGGAAATAGATTCATCAACCAAAGAAAATCATAACTCCAACAAATCCTTAACACAAAACATCCAGGAAATGTGGGACACCATGAAAAGGCCAAACC